TATCTATATATATATATAGAGATGAGGAGAGAGAGAATGGAGAGAGAGAGAGAGAGAAGATGATGAGAGAGAGAGAGAGGGTGGGTGATAGAGACAAACAGACAGAAGACAGGGAGTGATGGAGAGCGAGTGTGAATGAGAGTAGAGTGAGCTGTGAGACGAGAGTAACAGGCAGAACACAGAGAGGAGAGACAGATACAGAGAAAAGTAGAAGAAGGAGATAGATAGCGACAGACAGAGACGGAAAATGAAGACGAGAGAGATAGAGACAGGAGAAGGAAAAGAAGAGAAGGAGAGAGAGACAGAGGGAGAGAGTACTAGTGGGGGACAGGAATGAAGTAGGGACAGAGAATACAATATACAAGGAAGAAAACAACACAGACATCAGAAGACCATAGCAACCACAAATGACATCACAGATCGTCCTTCAAACGTTCACCAATTCTTGGCACTGATTTCTACGTGTGATAATGTCCCCCTTCACCCTCTGCCTCTGAAGCTAGTGCTCACGCGGTTTGACTTAGACTGAACAAGATTTGCATATAAATCACTCACTGGGAGGAATGGTAATAGAGAGAAAAAAAAATATATATAATAACACGTGCAAGTTACAAATAATACGCGACGCAATCAAAAACTCTCAGGTGACGGGGGTGGTGATCGTTTCAGCATGAGCAGTTGGAAAATATATCTGTTCCAGGTAGTTCAATTGAGTGTTTCTGACATAATGGCCGTCCAACATTGCTATTGTGCTCATAACACCCTCGGGTCTTTGGGTCAGTGTGTCTAAGAAGGGAATATGCCTATGTACTGTTATCAGCAGTCACTGTTGCGAAGACACGATAGCTTCTATCTTCACAGTTTATGGCCTGACGTGGCATATATCTATCTATCTATCTATCTATCTCTCTCAGCTCTCTCTCTCTCTCTCTCATCTCTCACAAGGTCATCTCTCTCTCTCTCTCTCTCGTCGCTCTCTCTATATATATATATAATAGTATATATTATATATATATATATATATATATATATATATATAAATATATAATAATAAGATATAGTATAGATATATATATATATATATATATATATATATATATATATATTATATGATGTATATATATATTATATATATATATATATATATATATATATATATATATATATATATATATATATATATACTATATATATATACTATATATACATATAATTTAATATATATAAATATAAATATAAATATATATATATAATATATATATATATATATATATATAGATATATATATATATAATATAAATATAGATATGTATATATATATATATATATATATATATATATATATATATATATTATATATATTATATATATATATATATATATACACATACACACTCACACACATCTGAGTGTGTGTGTGTTTATATATATATATATATATATATATATATATATATATATTATATATATTATATATATATATATATATATAACACTTTCCTTTGCAAGGAAGATTTGGCACGCCAGACGTGCATATACGCCCAAGATTAATACATGACTGTGTCATGCACTTACAAGCACGCAACACCCTACACCGAGACGGGAATACACGCTACCGAGAGATATAAACAAAAACATGGCATGTGACCCGACACCGCGTTGCTGTGTAGCTAGATCTCTAATATTCTTGTAAAAAATAGTTATGCAAATCTCAGAATCACATACCGGTTCTTCCAATTTGGGTCTTATTTATGGATAACTGACAGTTTGGCTTATAGATAATTCTTAACTCATTTTGAGCTTGTTTATTTACTCAGTCGCAGTTGTTTGTCTTTCTTTTTTGTGTTATCACCACTTTATATTAATGAGTTGTTATGACCTTACATGTTTGGTGCTGGCGATGTCATTACTTCTCATTACTTCAATTTCTCCGCGCGTGTCCTCCCCAGGGAACAGATGCGACGCGTGCAGGTGGCAGTGGCCGTCAACATCGTGCGAGAAACTCCCTCACATCTCACCCCGCGACGCTACGCTACAAACCTTCTCTCCGTCCTCGCCAGGGTAATTTTGGTCATGTTGCTGAGGTCTCTTGCCTTCATATAGATGCTGGCTGTTCGCGTGACGTTTTGACATTGAATCATTTGATTCATTTCATTCATCATTTCTTCGCAATGGATGAAATTAATCGATGTGGGCTTCCCTCTGCCCATACACTCATTCCTATCGTAATTAATGCATCTATTCACCCATGCAACTATCTACCCTACCAGGCAGAGAATGCGTCACGAGCCGCCCAAACTTCCGCAGAGGCCTCCCACGCGCCTGCCCGGGCTGCTTGTTCGGAGGCGCCTGCACTATTGGCTCCATCATCTCTCCTGGCAACAACGTCAGCGACAACAGCCTCGCGAGATGGCAACTCAAGCGCAGCTGTTGTGCAAGCTCTCTGCACGACTCAGCATTCTGGAGACGTCGATGCAAGCTCTAGGGCTGCTGAAAAGAGGACCGGTGAGGCTCAGCAGTCGATGAGAGGGGCTGGGCATCCTTCGGAGAGGCATCCTTTGCAGACATCAGTAGGGGCTGCATATCCTGTGGGTATGATGAGGGAGTCTCAGCATCCTAACAAGAGGGTAACAACAGTTTCATATCAACTACATACAGTCGCAGCAACTAGGAATATTGCAGCTCAATGTCCCAGGAAGGTGGTAGCAGGATTCCAGCATCCCACAAAGGCGTTAACAGCAGTCCAATGTACTGTGCAGACGGCTAGAGGAAGTGGGCATCGTAGGGGGGCGGTAAGTGCAGCGCGACATATAGTAGAGCCAGGGGGTTTAGTTCAGCATTCAAGGAAAATGACAACATCAGCTCAAACTGTTTGCAAACAGTTAGGATTACCCAGCGGCAAAGGCAGGTGGCAGGAGCAACTCGGGTTCCTACGTGGATTGGAACAGCTGCTCAACAGCCTATTCAGGGCACGAGAGCAAGTGAATGTCTTGGAGAGGTATCAGGAGCAGCTCGGCATCTTGGATCCGTACATTCTCCACAGGCTTTACATCAACAAAGACTCCTGGATGGACTTGGGGCCGTGAGTCCTCAGGAGCAACCCAGAAAGGGAGATAAATCCAGCGAGTTGCTGCATCCCAGTAGGCAAGAAAACTGGACTTTCAGTTCCAATCAGTCACTGACGGCAGAGATAAAACGAGAAATGGAGCACTTTAGGGCTGGCATGCCAGTAGACTGGCTCAAGTGTCGCGAGATCGTTCAGGTAAGGTTGTACATTTAAGGCCAATGTTATATTCATATATAAAGTATCAATAATTATTGTGATGTTGTTAATAATAATAAATCAACACATTGCTCAACAGAGGCGTATTATAAGCAAATTTAGCTGATTAATGATGGTATAATTGCGAGATCGAACATCGCTTATTCATCCAGATCTTAGGCGATCGGGTGGCCGCGGCGGACAGGGCGGACAGGGGCCTGGAGGAGACTTGTTTGAGCGTCACAACCAAGTTTGTTGCCATGCTCCTTAGGGCAAATAGAGAAGGGGTCTCCGCTACTTTACGATCGGCGGCGGC